TACAGTAGAAGCCATAACTTTACCCGTCAGACAGTGACTGTGAGCAGCCAACAGCGCTAGACCCGCCCCCACCACTGAATTCATTAATTGCCATTTAATTGACCAGCAACACGTGCCAGAGTGGTATATGATCTCATCGACAGTCGATGCGTTTTCACATGCTGATCTGCGTTTCTCGCGAATGCTTGAGCCTCGTCGCTCTACTGACAGCTTCTCCACTCAAGCCACCCAGAAGGAAAGCCCATATACTTCACCTGAATAGAATTGAAGACACATTGCACTCGTCGTAGGAAGATGGCACCGGTGGTAGACAATTGCTTCTAGTATCCACTGCTGATACCGGCAAGTCACGAACCTGTACAGTTTTTATCGTCGCAAACCGACCATCGCTGTTTCTCTCACCCATCCCCTATTCCGTATCAAGTGAAAATTATGGCTTGATAAAAGAGTTCACACCATCATCACCGGCCTCATAAAAGGAGTCCCCGATGCACAGGACCAAGCCGACCTTGATTGCCAGTGGCAATTCGCCACTGTAGTCAAGTACAGCTAGTGCCACTTTTTCTATCCGTTCCCCTGCTCGACATTGCCTCGCTTAACAAAAGCTTAACCACTCACTATGAAGGGCTTCTCTGTCACAATGTACCGAATGCGCTATGAAACCGGGCAATGAATGTGCCATCCATGTGCCATACTAAACCAAACACTGCAGGGCGAGATAGACGCTGGTAAACTTGACTGTGAGTCATTAGTACTTACTCTGTGTCATTCTTAGTATCAACGAGGTCTTCCCACCATTCATTCTCCTTCTCTTTTTCCATAGTGATAATCAGAGTCCCATCGTCTATCATCCAACCGCTACCATCAGTATCGACATGGCCCCACAGAGGACCTACGTAGTAGTCCATCACAGCTTCAGACTGTCCTGCGTAACAGCCCAGAGAATCACGTTTCAAGCAGGTTATGATAAACGCACTATTGCAAACGTACAGTGGAATTTTCATGCAAACTTGAACGTGTGCTCAGTTCGCATTACCCTCTATTGCCACAGACATGTGATTGACGTGAACTGATATGAACTTGGGCTTTATTGTCACCTTGATGTCCCTCTTAGAGACGCCATTCGCCAGCGGAATATCTATTTCGACCTGTTCGTTGATCAGATTGATGTACTGAGAATGCCAACGGCATGCCATACCTCGTCCTTAGTCTGACGGAAAGTATATCCTTCCCGTTTTACCGGCTCCTCGCGGTTAGGCATGTTAGCAACAGATGTGGGCGCTGCCACTTCTGAGTTCGACCCTGATGATAAAAAAATACTTCCCAGCTCCAAATATTAAGATTCAAAAGAGGTCCGAAAATGACCACAGCTTACCCATGCCATATTGACTTGTGAGTGCACTAAGAGTAGTGCCGCCACCCTGTTTCATGTTAATGGACTTCGCTGCAGCAATCCACTCTAAACCAGAGTTGAGGTCCGACTCGCGAAAGTCCATCCTGAACAAACATCGGCTGAATGGAACGCGGCTCACCTGTCGCCACTACCTGAACCACTTGTCCTTCCCATCATCGTACATCCTCCCGACGAACGCATCTCCTCTAATTTGATTACCGATAAGGCCACAAGCTGAAGTCAGCCCTTGAGCTCGTCTGAACACATTCAAGTAGAGCCTCAAGGTGCTACTAGCCTTACAAATTCACAGGAAGGTTCTTGGCGACTCCTTTATCATCGACGTACATACTCACGCCAGTGTAGCTAGTCTTAGGTACTGGGAGAGCTAAGGTGAGGATATCCACAGTTGTCATCGACATGAGCTGAAACGACATAGGAGGTATATTTCCAGAGTCAGGTTGACGGTGAATACCTTCTCGAGCATCTCTGGATTAACGGACTTGCTCACGTCCTGCTTTGCATGGGCTGATAACTGCGCCAAGAACTGCTGTCTGAACGGATGAAGTAATGACACGACACGAAGTGCACAACTCCAGACTGTTAAATCGGGAATCTCAAATTGCAGAGCTCTCTATGGAAACTATGGAACCATAATATGGGTCAAATCTTACTTCCCTTGCCTGCTCAACCAGGGCAAATC